TGTACATTCACATTTTCCTCATGTTGAATTGCAGGTATGCTAGTAGACTTTTGTTATTGACTACAATCATCAAAGATGTGGCAAATGAGTGTGGATACTTTACTAATCCGAAGAAAAGGCCTTATTTTTCAAGTTCAACATTAAATTCTTGTGAAGACATACTATTTTTGGCGTTTAAACTGACCTCGATAGACTTAACGTACGCTATAAGTGCGTTAAAGTATTTTCGTAGGTTAAGCTCGAATAAAATAGCTGGCAAGGGCTTATATCCTACTTACAAATGGTTCAAATGGAATTACGAAAAATTATTTGGCTATTATCAAGAAGCAATATCACCGGTTGACATCAAAACTCAACTGCAAGCAACCGCAATTTCTTCGGAGACGTTTAACGAAAAGTTAAACAAGTATTTCAACCAGAATTGTCGTGTGGAAGCAGGTTATCCGGGCCTGTTGAACAGTTATCGTTCTGGACTTACCGTATTGAAACAACAATCTAATGTAGACCACATATTCATATATCTCCAAACGAAAATGATAGAAGTATCCGACGATATTACTGAAAACAACTTCAAGGCTTGCGGGTTTTTATACAACAGTGAAACAAAAGAGTGTACATTAAAACAACCGGAAACGGCTACATCTCAATCATACTGAAATCCCTTTGCCGCTTTTATATTTCTGTGTTTATAAATTTATACTTATAGTAAAGGCAATTTTTGTAAAAATTAATATTTAACTAGCTTATCTTTATTTTCCGATTTCATTAATGATATACCTAATATGAAAACTAAGAAACTTGTTAAAAACCTATGTTATTTAACTGTTGTTATCCAACTTTTTCATACTGACATTACCTAGCCATTTATATATTTCAGTGTTTATTAATTTATCAGCATTCATAAAAATGTATTTCATTATAATATTAAAACTAAGCAAATTATTAAATACCTATGACATATCTAACTTTTTGCATTGCCACTTTATTGTGTTATTACTCCAAATTATTTACTCAAATACAAGTATATAATTCTACGGATGATAAATACGTCTTTTTCTAATTTAAAAAATCCTCCTCCTTATTTACATTAAACAATATATGTTTATTAAAAAGTTATTTAAGCACATCGTATTTTTCCTTGATTTAATAATAATATAAAAATTGAAACAGTTAAAAATAATAACAACCGTGGTGATTTTAGTACAAATAAATATAATATAATATTATGTGTTTGGGTCATGGATATGAGTGTGTCATTTTATGTTGAACAGTATTGTGTTAAATCATGTTATCGTTGTGTTTTTATTTCTACTTAAATACTAAACTTCCACCAAGTTATACAAGCGTAAAATTGATCAGGTTACGGGCCCACGCACAACCTTGAAGCATCAAAAGCCTAAGTATTTGAAGTAATCAAAATTCGCTTAAAAGTTTTTTAATAGAGCGTACAAATAACAATATATATATGATAAACCTATATTATTTGTTGATATCTTAAGTACTATTCGATTAGTCAAAAATACAGAGTTTCATCGGAAAACCTAGCACATCGATTTATGATACCGTTTCTATCACGAGAAATATGAGAAAGGTCAATTCGAAGTTCAACACAGGAACACAGAAATGTTGGCAGACATCTTTACAAAAGAACTTCCAAAAGACAGGTTTGGGATGATTCGATAACATTGCTAGTTTTTTGTGCGTTATGCTTGGTAAACTAAATAATAATATTTTTCAATCAAAAAAATGTTTTAAATAATTAAGTTATTTGATTTTATCACTCTGCATTTCAACTATGTATTCATACATTTTAAATATACCATTTAAAAAAAAAACTAAAATTATGACATAATGTTAAGAGCAATTATCAGGTAATAGTTCTGACATCTGATAGGATAGGATACGTCTGTTTTTTATACTCCGTATAGTCCCGAAGTTTTCAGATCTTTCCACATGTGGTTAAATAAATTTGTGGTTTAATAATTCTGAGTAACTTCGGATATTTGACAACACAATATTGAAAGAATTCCACAAATTACAAAAATACTGCCTGATAATTTCCTAATTTCATTATCTTGTGCGACACCAAAATGCCTTGCAAAAGAACTTTGGTAAGATTGTGCTATTAAGAATAATTATTGCGTTTGTAATTTAGTTCATAATTTATGCTTTTTCTTAATAAAAGACAAAAAACTTCGACTACAGTTTTTTGAGAAAACTGTAACAGTTCAAATACAAATCTATGTGCGCCCAACAACACAACATTTACAGAATTACTATATTTACAAAATCCCTACGCATTTTCGAAACTTTAAAAGTTCTTAATTTTTTTTTTGCTTTCATATTTCATTTAATTGGCACAGCCTTCTCTCTTAAATATCCGTAAAATGTTATGTCTACATGACTTTGTTGTTTTTCTAAATAAAACAAGATTGAAACAACGTGTGTCTAGACTAACATGTGATTAAATATATGAACATAAGACAAATAATAACGATTACGTTTATAATTATCATATTTAATATAGTCAAAAAATGATTTAGTAAGAAATGTGAGGTGAATCATCCAAAACAATTGATATTAAATGTCTTGCAAATACACGCAATTAAAGTATGCCGTATGTGCCTTATTTACATAAGAAATTCAATATTAAAATGACGAACTAGCAAACAACAACTTTAGTACATATTGACTGCTACGAATATTTGGTTCGTTCAGCTTGATTCCGTTTTATCACCAGTTACTCGGTTAATTGGATGATTAATATAAAAAATGAATTCAATCAAGTGTGTCGCCGCGATATTGTTGATTGAGTTGTTTTTTTCTTCCGAACCGTTCACGTCATGCGTACCACTAATCGATATAGTTCAAGACACGAAAATTTTACTGACTCATCCCGGATGGAAAGACATAGTAGATAACGTGAAAACCAATAATGCCGAAGGGGCGTTAAGTGACGATGACGTGTCAAAGTTGATCGACCAAAAGGAGGACATTACACTAGATAACGTATTAGCCATTAACGAACGCATTTTCCTCATGTTGAACTGCAGGTATGCAAGTAGACTTTTGTTTTTGACTACAATCATCCACGATGTGGCATTTGCGTGTGGATACTTTGGTTCTTCGGATCAAGTGCCTAAGTCTTCAGCGTCACCATTATCTTACTGCCAAGAAGTACTATATAAGGCATTTGAACTGACTTCTATAGATTTATCGTACGTGTATAGTGCGTTAGACTATTTTCAAACGTCGAGCCGGAGAAAAATGGCCAGGAAGAGTTTCCGTTCTATTAACAAATCGTTCAAATGGGATTACCAAAAATTGATAGACTATCACAAACGGACATTATCGCTGGCTACAGTCAAAACTCAATTGCATATTACCGTAAACTCAATGGTAATATTTAACACTAAGTTGTATGAATATTTCAGCCAGAAATGTCGTGTGGAAGCCGGATACCCGGACCTGTTGACCAGTTATCGTAACGAACTTGACGAAATAAAACAATCCAATTTAGGCCAACTATTAGATTATCTCCAAATGAAAATCATCCAAGTCTCAGACGATATTATTGAAAATAACTTCTGGGCTTGCGGATTACTATACAACGGTGAAACGAAAACGTGCACAGTAAAAAAACCGGAAACGCCCACATCCTAATCATATTGACAATATGCTATTTATATATTAGTGTATCTATTGTGAAATATTTTAAAAATATTTAGCCTAATGCATTATTTTAATATTTTAAATAAAATGCAATAATATCAGTTCGCATTGTAATTGTCAAATGAGACTATGCATTTTTATAAATCAAAGTCATATATTACATTATTTTACAAACGTTTGGCCTATAAAAAAAAATAACTTTTTCTAAATATGTTCTAATTAAATAGAAGAACGATTTGAATTTGAAGTATTATAATTTTGTTAAATGTTTTCAAAAAAAAAAAACGTTTTAACTTTAATCTACATAACATATGAAAACAAAACATTTAACCTAATTTTTTGTACTGTTACTTAGTTTTTTGTAGATAAAAAGAATGCTATACAAATTTTTATAAAATATAACTCTTATACAGTTGAAATGATGAAACTGATTAAGATCAATCCTATTATGGGTATAAGTATATTTAACATTTCAGAAATATCTAAAATTTAAAAGTCAAATTAGGTACTCAGGAGCATTAGTAAACCTACCCGTGAAATTATTTTTTATGTGCGCTAATAAGTTTTATTTCGAAAAACACAAGAAAAATAAGTTGTATACACATAAACGTCACTTTTCGAGAGTCAATATAGTCAAAAGAGCAGTATGTCACTCTTTATAATATAGCTTTGATTTTAAACGTACATTAGCATTACAATTTATATAAGATATATTTTTTTTATGATTTTTTTTTTAGTAGATGAGGATCAATAAGGTATAAGTTTTGTCTTTGAAAATACCTCGAACTAGTTAAAACCTAGTACTTACTCAAATAACGAAGTACACTGTACAACCAATGGGTTGGTGGTTTCTCCACACGTGTTATTTTAGTATTTTAATATCTTGTCATCAATGATAATTATTGTAAAAAATGTTTTGAGAAATGATATGTTCCACTCTTGGTCTATCATTAGTGTAATTTCCAGACTTTACGTTCCAATATTAAGACCAAAAAAAGCGAAATTTACTATAATTATAAAACATGCCAACACAATATACAAACGTTTTTTCAGAAAGTTGTAGGGCTTAAGTTGAAAGGCATTTACTTTTTTTAAATATATTTTTCAAATTAAAAGGAGAAAAGGTAAATTTATCCATAAACTTGCGATTCGACGAATTTGACTCAGTGGTTTATTAGACATCCTGGGTCCTGGCACAAACATTCTAACCTCCGGGACTTTATTAAATACAATGTGCCTAGATAACTTTTAAACCAACATATATTATAATTTTAAATAAGGAGAAGGAACTATTAAATTGTTCAAAAAATTGATTTATGAATCGTAGAATTATATTTTTGTATTTGAGTAAATATTTTGAAGTAATAACACAATGGAGCGACACTGCAAAAGTTTAGATATATCATAGGTATTTAACGATTTGCTTAGTTTTAAGATTATAATAAAATACATTTTCATGAATGCTGATAAATTAATAAACACTTAAATATATAAATGGCAATATGACATTAGTATGATTAAGATGTGGACGTTTCGGGTTGTTTTAATGTACAAGTTTTCGTTTCACTGTTGTATAGAAACCCGCAAGCCATGAAGTTGTTTTCAATAATACCGTCGGATACTTCCATGATTTTCGTTTGGAGATAATCGAATAGTTGGCCTAAGTTGGATTGTTGTTTTAATTCGTTAAGTTCAGAAAGATAATTGGTCTTCAGGTCCGGGTAACCGGCTTCCACATGACATTTCTGGCTAAAATATTTATTCAACTTCTCCTTAAATGTCTTTAAGGACCTTACGGTTGCATTCAATTGACTTCCGATAAGATTCGGTGATTCTGCTCGTTCGTTCAATAATTTTTCGTAATTCCATTTGAACCATTTGTACGTAGAATGTAAACCCTGGCTGGCTATTTTTTTTTTTTGGAATAACTTTTGGAAATACTTTAACGCACTTCTAGCGTACGATATGACTATCGAAATCAGTTCAAACGCCGAATATAGTACTTCTTTGCAAAATTTTAATGGCGAATTTGAAAACGAAGGCATTTCAGTCGAAGAACCAAAGTATCCACACTCAGCTGCCAGGTCGCTGATAATTTTACTCAGGAACAAAAGTCTACTTGCATACCTGCAGTTCAACATAAGGAAAATGTGACCGTTCACGGCTAATACGTTATCTATTGTAATGTCCTCATTTTGGGTGATCAACTTTGACACGTCATCGTCACTTAACGCCCCTTCGGCATTATTGGTTTTCACGTTATCTATTATGTCTTTCCATCCGGGATGAGTCAGTAAAAGTTTCGTGTCTTGAACTACATCGATTAGTGGTACGCATGACGTGAACGGTTCGGAAGAAAAAAACAACTCAATCAACAATATCGCGGCGACACACTTGCTTGAATTCATTTTTTATATTAATCATCCAATTTACCGAATAACTGGCGATAAAACGGAATCAAACTGAACGAACCAAATATTCGCAGCAGTCAATAAGTATGATATTGTTATTTGCTAGAGTAGCGTATTGCAAGCTTTTTTTTTTACCCGAACGTAGCGTAGCAGTGGTGAATATTGCGTCTACAAATTGACTTAAAATATTCTGTTTCTTTTTACTGTCTTAGCAGGTTCTTTTTACTGGTTTAGCAATATTTTTCTGGTTTAATTTGATGATTCACCAGTTTGGCATGATTTATCAAGACAGTATATTAAATATCTATGATAATAATAATTAAAATCATCATTAATTAAATCAAATTATCTATTCATGTGGTAATAAGAGACATGCTATCAGTATTGTTTGCACTTTTCTTTACAAACAGTCATTATTTATTTGAATAATAAGACGGACTTTTAAATCGTTAATTTTTTTAGTGAAACTGTACCTATGTTAATTTTACCTAAAATTACAAATTTCAAAAAAACTTGAAAATTTAAAATAATTTCATAACAGCAAATTTGTATAGACATAAAAACGATTTTTTAAATAAAGAACCGAAGTCCAGAATGTTTGTGTCAGGACCCAGAATGTCTCCTAAACCACTGAACCGATTTTGGCGTTTCGCAAGTCTATAGATCAGTTTACCTTATAGACTATATTACTCCATCTGGTATATAGAAATATTAATATTCGATTCCAGTGACGAAATAATCATCATTTATTAAAATGTTCTTCATTATAATCTTAAAACTAAGCAAATTGTCAAATACCTATGTTACATGTAACTTTTTGCAGTTTCGCTCTGTAATTATTTTTAAATATTTACTCAAATACATAAACTATTGCGTATGGATGTGAACAAATTGTTTAAAATATTTATAGTTCTTCCTCCTCTCATTTTAAATAATTAACTAAACTGTTTTATGTGTAAAATTAGCCAATATAAAACAATTGTCTTCCCAGAGCAAAGAAATCCAAATGACTTATAATATAATGATTGATGTACAGAAAAAAAAAATATTATGAGATTGTCCCCTTTAGGTAAATATTATAAGTCCCATTAACGCATTATTTAATAATTCATTTTTTGAAGATATTTTAAAATACGATAATTATAATTTAAGTCGTCATTATTTAAACTAAACTTTTTGTTGTGTAATAGTAAAATACATGCCTACAGTATAGTTTATACTTTATTTACAATCAGTCATTTATTTGATACATACGACGAACTTTTAACAGGGTTATGTTTTAAAAAATTTAAACAAATAGAAAATGAGAGGACAGCAAAAAAAGGCCTTATTCGGACATCAGTGAACCCTAACTGCATCTGGGGTTTGAAAATTGTATGTAATTCATTATTGTGAAATACATACTTTATAATTTAAATGAGTGAAAAAAAAGAATAATGTTCATAATTTGTCATAACAGTTAATAAAAAAAACTATATTATTATATTCTCAACAGAACCTCATCTTAAAGTAAGTTCAAATTTGTTGCACAGTCTTAGGGTAAGGACGATTTTTTTTTTGTTTGGCCTTTGCCAGACTAAAATATAGAACGCACACTATTAATACCCTCTAAATATATCTAGAAGTTGAACTGCAGTTAAAAAAAACTAAAATGTTAGGCTTATAAAAATATGTTGTTTCGCAGTTATTGTATATCTAACAATTTTTTTTTAAATTGTTTGCTATGGGTATACTAAGCATAGTACATTAAGTTTTATAAAAATGATAAATGAGTATATACCGACTCCTACATTTCCAGACTATATAAAAAATTAACACTATAAAAAGTCGGAAAGTCCGTCTAATTATTAAGTCTGTTTTATATATCAAATAAATGACTTTCTGATGATTCTAAAAAAAAAGCTAATGATACTACTATTGGTATGTTTTTAACTATCACACGACATTAAATTGATTTAAATTTGTCATAATTAAGAAAAAATCGACAAAAATAAATGTGTATAAGAATGCGTTATGGTGAAAATTTGAAAACAAATTTTAAACGATTAGTGTAAAAAGAATCGTTTCTTTAAAGTACTTCCCTGATAGAGCGACACTGCTTGATAAGAAGTTAGATGTAACATTGGTATTCAACAAGCTAATTGTTTATCATATAATGATATACATTTTCATGAATACTTACTGGGGTTATGTCGTTTCTGAAATCGAAAATAAAATATAATATAATATACAAATATTATTCTCGCTTCCCTAAGTATAAATTAACAAACACACAATTATATAAATGTCGATGGAATGCCAGTGAGATTAAGATGTACACGTTTCCGTTTCACTGTTGTATAATAATCCGCAAGCATTGAAGTGGTTTTCAGTATTATCATCGGAGACCTCGATGATTTATAAATCGTCAAGTTCGAAATGATCACTGATCTACGGTTCATTGGACAACCAAAATCAAAACGACAATTTTGGTTGAAATATTCAATGAGTAAACTCATTAGCTAGCAATTGAATTCCAAAACTAGCCGATGGTATAGCATGCTGGTAGAAGTCCGACAAAGAATTGTAATTCCTTTTGAACGATCTGTTAACAGTACGTATGCCACGTCTACTATCTAGCTATTTTTCTCGAGCTAAGTCTATGGAAATGTTGGAATAATAATTAATATTCTATATATCAAGTAGTATTTCACAATATATAAATATGTTGTTTATCTGTATAATAAAAATACGTAGTTGTTAATCAGGAAATGTTATAGAAAAACAAAGTTGTTTTTGTAAGCACACGTGTATGTGTAGACGCGTGCAACCTTGTGGGTTAATATAAATAGCATTTGATCTAAGGGCTCGGGGGCTCAGTATTTCTATTCAGTTTATACATATTACTAGTGTATTATTGTTTCACTGTGTTGTATATATTCTATGTATAATATATCTATTATTGTAATAACATTATTTGTGTTAAATACTTGATTATCATCTACTACTACTCGCACTCTGATACTATATATATGTATAGTATTACAACAGGTTATGCGCCCAGACACTCAGACATATAGTCAAAGGCACACCGGACATCGAGAGTCAAGTATTTGAAGAACACAATTTTTTTTAAGATCACCAAGTAAGTGAATTATAGTAATTAAGCAGCACCTGACGAAGTGTATATTGGATATACATTTATCAAAGTCGTTCAAGAGTACTATACAAGTACGTCATCTATTGATATGGAAGAATCAATAAAGATTGCCAAGCTATGCAATATTGAAGGTTGGACACTTTGGAAATTTCAGATGAAGGTAATACTAACTTCATATGAGTTGGGTAGTTTAATTACAGGAGAGTATACAAAACCAGTGCTAACAAGCAAAGAAGCTGACGCCCAGAAAAGATTTAAAGAGGATCTATTAAATTGGCAACGTGCTGACTCCAAATGCCAAAAACTGATAGTAACATCGGTTGACAACGGTCCAATGCAATACCTGATTAACTGTAAAACATCGTATGAAATGTGGACAAAATTACTCGCTGTCTATGAGCAGAAAAACGAGGCGAGTATACATTTAATACAACATAAATTTTTCAGTTACGTAAAGGACTCGGCTGACGATATGTCGACGCATATTACCAAATTGCAAAACCTACAGAATCAACTTAGTTTGATGGGACAACCAGTCACAGAATCTATGCTTATGACGAAAATTCTAATGACTTTGCCATCGGAGTATAAACATTTTTACAGTGCATGGGACTCAATGCAGCTAGAAAGTAAGAATTTAAATGAACTAACATCTCGGTTACTTATTGAGGAGTCGAGAATGTATCAAGGTAGTTCGGTAGTTGAATCTGTAGAAGAAAATAATGCTTTAACTGTTAGAAAGTTCCAGAAGAAATTTTCTAAAAAGACAGGCAGTGAAAAATTTGGTGAACGGAAAGTTGGGAATCCAAATGTGGGTACAAAAAAGATAGGACCCTGTTTTTATTGCAAAAAGGGCGGTCATTTCAAAAAGGACTGCAGGAAGTATAAAAAAGACCAAGACGATGCCAAGGGAAATTCGTCACAATCAAGTGAAATAGGACAAGCTTTTTACAGTGAACTGTTATTCACAGAACAAGAATCGGATAACTGGTATCTAGACTCTGGTGCTACTAATCATATGACGGGACATAAAAATTGGTATGTTCATTATAATCAATTTAAATCGCCAATTAAAGTGAAAATAGGCGATGGCACTATTTTATATGCGCAAGGTTCGGGTCAAATCAATATTATATGTTATGTTAGGAATAATCAGTATAATAATTTTATGACTAATGTTTATTATGTACCTGAACTAAAATATAATTTATTCAGTGTTGGTTCTACGTTGGACAAGGGCATAAAAATGAAGTCAGATAATAAAAAATGTATATTTTTACTAAACAACAAGATCATTTGTGAAGCGGTACGCAAAAATGGCTTGTATAATGTTAATATTAGAATACAGAACCAGCCAATTAACAAAACGGGTTTCGTCAACGATGTGCAGCCAGAGCAACGGCCGTAGTAGCGGGTTCATTAACACTGTGGCACGAACGTATGGCACATCAAAACATTGGTTACGTAAGAAGTTGTTTACTTAAACATAATATTAAGGTGGAGAGTGACAATAACTTCACATGCGAGGCATGTATTATGGGTAAACATAGTAGAAAATCATTTCAAAGTCGTACGGACAAATCACAAAAAGTGGGAGAATTAATATTTACTGATCTTTGTGGACCTTTCCAGACAGATTCTCTAGGCGGGTCAAAATATTATCTTGTTTTTAAAGATGATTTTTCACACTTTAGAACTGTATATTTCTTAAAACATAAAAATGAAGTTAAAGACAAACTTGAATTGTTTATTAAATGTTTTAAAAATGAGACAGGTAATAAAATAATAGCAATACGTTCGGACAACGGCGGAGAGTTTGTTAATAAACAGGTTTTAGGAATATTAAACAAGTATGGAATCCGTCATCAGAAAACAATAGCCTACACACCACAACAGAATTCTTCAGAACGCGAAAATCGTACGTTAGTGGAGGCTGGTCGATCAATTTTATATTCCAGAAATATGGATTTATCATTATGGGCAGAAAGTATATCATACGCTAATTATACTTTGAATCTCACAGGTAAAAGCTCAATTAATAATAAAAATCCATATGAGTTGTATTATAATAAATTGCCTGACATAAATCACTTAAGAGTTTTTGGAACTAAAGTGTATGTACATGTACCCAAGGAAAAACGTCAAAAGTTAGATGCCAAGTCTAGAAGCGGTATTTTCGTTGGATATTCTATTGACAAGCGCGGGTACAGGGTTTATTTTAATGATACGAAAACGGTAAATGATTGCCGGGACGTTATATTCACTAAGGAAATAATAAATACAAATGAAGTTAGCATAAGCGAAAGTGTTACACAGGTTGACGACGAGAAGGAACAAGTCGTGAATGAAAAACCAGTTCAAAACGAGGAAACAGTAACCATACCTATAGTCACGGACACTCATGGGTACAGTTTACGAGACCGCAGCCAATTACAAAAACCGGTAAGGTATCGGTGCATGCTAAGTATATCAGAACCAGTTAACTATTATGAAGCGATAAACAGTGAGTATGCAAATAAGTGGGAAGAAGCAATGAATGACGAGCTTAAGTCGTTAATTGAAAATAAAACGTGGGAACTTGTCGACAGACCGATAAATAAAAGTGTTTTAAACAATATGTGGGTATTTAAAATTAAGTACAATGTAAATGGTCAAGTCGAGAGATTTAAGGCGCGTTTGGTGGTTAACGGGTCAAGACAAAAACCAGGCGTGGATTTTGGAGAAGTTTTTAGTCCAGTATGCCGATATGAAAGCATACGTACAATATTAGCGGTTTCTGCGGCTAAGAAACTTGAACTCAAACAATTCGACGTGAAAACGGCATTTCTTCATGGAGAATTAGATGAAGAAATTTACATGGATCAACCATTGGGTTTTAATGACAACTCGGGTAGAGTATGTAGACTACGTAAGTCTTTGTACGGATTAAAACAATCACCAAGAAATTGGAATTTTAGATTTAGACATTTTCTAGAAAAATATAATCTTAATCCAACTGATTCAGATCCATGTGTGTATATAAATCATGATAATAATGAAATAGTTATTTTAGCTATATTCGTCGATGATGGTTTAATTGCTTCAAACAGTATTGCAAAATCACAAGAACTCATTTCAAGTTTACAACAAGAGTTTCAAATCACACAAGGAGATTTAAATAATTTCCTAGGTATGTCAATAGAGAAACAAAATGATGGCTCATTATTCATTCATCAGGCCAAGTATGCAAATAATATTATTGAAAGATTTAATATGAATAATGCTAAAGAAGTTTCTGTCCCCATATCTCGAACAGACACGTCATTCGATAACACAGATACGCAGGTATTACAGCCAGGTAATAACTTTTATAGACAAGCAGTAGGGTCACTGTTATTTCTGTCACAAGTAACAAGACCGGATTTAGCGTTTGCAGTTAATTATGCAAGTCGTTTTCTTGCAAAACCTACAAATGCACACTGGCAAATGGTCAAGCGTATAATGCGTTATGTTAAACATACATTAGATTATGGTTTGTGTTATAATTCAGATGATAATTTATTGTTGAGTGTCTACAGCGATTCGGATTATGCCGGCGACATTCAAACACGAAGATCTACTTCGGGACATTTATTTGTTGCGGGACCTTGTACAATAGGGTGGAATTCACAACGTCAAGCATCAGTTACTCTGAGTTCAACTGAAGCTGAGTTCGTCGCTAGCTGCGAATCGATAAGAAGTTTAATTTGGTTTAAAAGATTGTTAACTGAATTAACTAATGAAAAGGGATTGTATAAACCTATTTTGTATATAGATAATCAAAGTACTATTCGTTTGATTAGGAATGCAGTTTTTCACAAGAGGTCAAAACATATTGATGTTCGTTATCATTTCATTCGGGAGAAGTTTGAAGAAGGTGTATTTGAACTGCAGTACAAAGAAACAGAAAACCAACTAGCTGATATCTTCACGAAGCCATTAGCCAAGGACAGACTTGAAAAGTTACGGTCAATCATAGGCGTGAAGAGGATCACAGAAGATTAATATAGTGTTAAGAAAATATTAATTAAGGGGGTGTGTTGGAATAATAATTAATATTCTATATATCAAGTAGTATTTCACAATATATAAATATGTTGTTTATCTGTATAATAAAAATACGTAGTTGTTAATCAGGAAATGTTATAGAAAAACAAAGTTGTTTTTGTAAGCACACGTGTATGTGTAGACGCGTGCAACCTTGTGGGTTAATATAAATAGCATTTGATCTAAGGGCTCGGGGCTCAGTATTTCTATTCAGTTTATACATATTACTAGTGTATTATTGTTTCACTGTGTTGTATATATTCTATGTATAATATATCTATTATTGTAATAACATTATTTGTGTTAAATACTTGATTATCATCTACTACTACTCGCACTCTGATACTATATATATGTATAGTATTACAACAGGAAATACACTAATGCACTCATGACGTTCATTAAATCTATCGAAGTCAGTTTAAACGCGAACATTAATGTTGTTTCACAGAAATTTAACGGTGAAATATAGTTCAAAGGTATTTGATCTGGGTAAGCAAAGTATCCACAACACTATTGGTTGCCAGATCATTGGTAATTGTATTCAAGAAAAAAAGTCTACTAGCGTGCAGTTGAACAAGATTAGGTATAATGTAATTATTCACGCCAAATATTATGTTACTCTTTCCATTATCTTACTTTAGTACTTTGCCACGTCATCGTCACCTAACTAGTTGAATGAATATTTCAACCAAAATTGCTTTATGGAAACCGGTTACCCAGACCTGTGAGCCAGTTATCGTCTCGAACTTTACGGTTTAAAACAACAACCAATTTGCGCCGACTATTCTTTTATCTTCAAACCAAAATCATCGAAGTCTGCGTTGATATTACTGAAAACCGCTTTAGGGCTTGTGGTTTCCTATAAAACAGCTAAATGAAAATAAACTATGGAGAAAACAGTAAAAAAAAAATACAATAAATCATATAATTTTGCTTTTTGAATTTTATCCAAATAACACACTAACCACGAGTTATGTAATAAATATACCACTAGAAATAATTAAAAAAAATTGAATTGTTAACTAATTAGATATCTGTTATGAAATATCAATAGCTTAAGACCATTGATTATGCCATTGACAAAATAATGAGCCTAAAATATTAGTGAATGCCTCCAGTAACTGGATAGTGGTAGAATTTTTTATAAATAATTTTAATAATTCAAATGCAAATACCTTGTATTACCTTACGGTACAACTATAATCTATTATCATTACAGTCATAATAGAAACTGTAATGTTTTTTTTTTAAAAAATCAAGTACTTTGATTATCACTCGGCGTTTCAACTATTCATACGTTCCAAGTATGAAATTTGTTTGAAAAGAATTTGTTGTTTTATTAAATAGAACACGACTGAAACAGCGTGCGTCTAGACTAACATGTGTATAAATATATGATTCAAATAAAAAATATATGTATTATTTACACAAGGAAATAAAAATACATTCTAAATATTAGACAATAATCAGACAAAGGGTTGACTTCTTATGGGAGTTATTACAGTTTTATAAACACCTTTCTATTATTATCCCATTTACAGCTAATAATATACTTGATGGATGTATAACAACATTCTATTGAAAGTATCCCGTGTGAAGATTGTGTATTTAGGAATAATTATTGTGTTTGTAATTATTGTCTAAGCTTTTCCTTAATAATAATACGTTTTGACATCAGATTTTTGAGAAAACCGTAACACTTAAGACATCACTCTATGTCTAACTTTAGTCAAATTTTCAAGACATCCAGTTCCAAAAGCACGTCCGAAAAAGCGAAATGTATTAGAATCCAAAAATATGTAATTAAGAACATTAAAATAGCATAACAGCTATAAAAATATTTTTTTTTCATTGCCCCGAGGAAACGAAACAGACGGGTGCTGTTTTCCTAAACTTTGGTAAAATATTATGTTTACACTAATTTAATGTTTTATTGGATAAAACACATTAGGAACAGCTTGTGTCTAGACTAACATGTGTATAAATAATTAGGCATACGAATATTACATACATATTGAATACACAATATTCGCTTTATTAACTTTTTACATAGAAAACCCTAATAAATTTAAACGAAAAACTAGCAAATACCATTTTTAGTATTAATTTAGTGTTAGGATTGTTTGATTCATTCGGTCCGATTATTTGTCCCGGCCGCCACTTGTAGAATTGGATTTTTCAATATACAAAATGAATCTAACCAAATGTTTTGCCGCTATAATGTTTGTTGAGATGTTTTTCACATCCGAACCGTTTGCGTCGTGTGTACGACTGTCCGAAATGGTCAAAGCAACAGACCTTTTGCTATCCCATTCTGGATGGAGAGACATATTGAACAACGTGAAAACGAAAACTGCCGCAGGACAGTTTGGCGACTATGACGTGGCAAAGGCGATCGGCCGGATGGAGGCCTTAAACAGAAACGAAATGGTGTATCTGGTCAAATACATTTTCCTCGTGTTGAACTGCAGGTATGCAAGTAGGTTTTTGTTCATGAGAAAAATTATCACCGATCTGGCAACCGAGTGCGGATACTTTGCTTATCCGGAACGAGCACGTTCGTTTACAAAGTCGCCGTTGAGTTATTGCGAAGAACTACTGTGTTATGCGTTTGAACTGGTTTCGATAGGTTTAACGTACGCGTATGGTGCGTTGAAGTACTTCCAAACGTTGATCCCGAGAAAACTATACAGCATGGGCTTGCGTTCTATTGAAAAAACGTTAAAATGGGATTGCGAACACTTGGTAGACTACCGTCGACGGGCGGTATCGACGGATACTATTAGAATTCAATTGCAGGCCACCGTTAGTTCTTTGGAGACGTTTAACAGCAATCTGACTGAATATTTCAACCAGAATTGTCGCGCGGAAACCGGTTACCCTGACCGGTTTACCAGTTATCGTTTCGGACTTAACGAGTTAAAACAACAGTCCAATTTACAACAACTGTTCAATTATCTCCAAATGAAAATCGTCGAAGCATCCGACGATATTACAGAACATAACTTCCAGGCTTGCGGGTTTCTGTACAACAGTGAAACGAAAACGTGTACAATAAGAAACCCAGAAACGTCTACATCTTAATCGAACCGACAACCCCGTGCTATTTATATATTTGTGTGTCTATGGCGCAATCACCTATTTCGAAATATTTAGTCAAATACTTGAATATAATCCTAACAATAAGTAATAGTTAATCATTTGTTGTTAGTTAGTAAATTAAATAATAATTTTTTTCATTACTTCAATTTTACCTATCACTCAACATTTCATACGTTCTAATTAATGTACTGCACAATTTTTTCGAAGGAGTATAATCACTGACATGGTGTTGACATCTGATAGGAGTTTTTGTAGTTTCATACTTTATTAATGTTTCATTATGTACCTTTTTTTTTATTACCACATGCATTGCTAATAACATACTTATGGATACATTCGGATGTTAACCAGCTTTATACAGGGTGATCATTTGATCGGATTTCATCGGACAAGGAACCAAAAAAAAACCAACAAACTGTGTTCGGTTACTCAAGTTATCCATGTCCAATTTCAGAACATTAAAATATTCTTATTTTTTCGATGACCTCATTATTTGCGCAGCTGCCATACGTCTTCATAACCATTTGTGAAATTTTATGTCTACGCCAATTTATTGTTTTAATAAATGGAACGAATGGAACAGCGCGTGTCTAGACTAACCCGTGTATAAATATATGAACATATGGAACGTTCGGACTTTCGTGTACAAAAACTTCATCAAAATAATCAATATTAGCTTTATTTACATAGTAAATTAAAAACTAAAAATATGAACTAGCAAAACATAAGCTTAGTATCAATTAAGCGTTACGGTTGTTTAATTCTTACTGCACGATTGATTTTTCTCGCCGGCTAATTGTAAAATTGAATTTTTCAACGCACAACATGAACTTAACCAAGTGTTTTGCCGCGATATTGTTGATTGAGGTTTTTTTTGCATCTGAACCGTTCGTGTCGTGTTTACGACTACACGCAATGATCAACGAAACCAAACGTTTGCTGTCTTATACCGGATGGAAAAATATATTGGATAACGCGAAAACGAAGACTGCTGCCGGAGAATTTGGTGACGATGACCTGGCAAATTTGGTCGACAAAAAAAATGATATTACAACGGAAAACATAGTAGATCTTGTCAACCACATTTTCCTCATGTTAAACTGCAGGTACTCAAGTAGATTTTTGTTCATGAGCACAGTTGTCAACGATCTGGCTACCGAGTGTGGATACTTTGCTTATCAACATAGAAGGCCTTCGATTACTAATTCACCTATAAACCCCTGCGAAAACACACTATTGTCGGCGTTTGAATTGACTTCGATAGGTTTAACGTACGCTTCCAGTGCGTTAAAGTATTTTCATACGATCAGCTCGAACAAAATAGCACGCAAGGACATACGTCCTGATATAAATTCGTTTAAAAGGAGTTACTATAGTTTTTTGGACGTCTACCACCAGGCAAAATCACCGGCCACTATCAGAATTCAATTGATAGCTCCAGTAAACTCTTTGAAAAGTTTTATTGACCAGTTGAATGCGTATTTCAATCAAAACTGTCTTATGGAAACCGGTTACCCAGACCTGTGGACCAGTTATCGTCTCGAACTTAACGGTTTAAAACAACAATCCAATATGAGCCAAGTATTCGATTATTTCCAAGCCAAGATCATCGAAGCCTCCGACGATATTACTGAAAACCACTTCAGGGCTTGCGGTTTTCTATACAATGCTGAAAAGAGAAAGTGTACATTAATTAAACCAGAAACGTCCACACATTAACCATACTCACAACATATTGCCATTTATTCATGAAAATGTATTATAAAAATTAAATAAAAATATACGATTATAATTCTACAGATGAAAAAAACGTTGTTAATAATTTTAATAGTTCCTATAATGAAACAATATAAAAAAAAACCCTGCAGATTACAAAAATACTGCCTGTTAACTCCTAATTTCCTAATTTCTTGCGCGAGACCCAAACGGGAACATTTCGTGGATAGATTGAGCAATTAGGAATAATTATTGTGTTTGTAATTTAGTTTATGCTTTTCCTTAATAAAAATAGATTTTTTCGCCAGATTTTCGAGAAAACTGTATCAATTAAGTCTAATTTTCAGATTTCCAGTTCCAAAAGTGAGCCATACGCAATTTCAGAACATTAAAATATTCTTTTTTTTCGATGCACTGCTTAATTGAGTAGTCGGCATAGCTCCCACACTTCTTCTTAAACACTTATGTAAAATGTTATGTCTACACTAATTTATTGTATTATTAAATAAAAATCGATTGGACCAACGTGTGTCTAGACTAACAATTGGGTAAGTAAAATTGGCATTTAAATAAATTATATTCGCTATATTTTGCTCAGTTGGCACAGCTCTCTTTATTAAACAATCGTAAAATGTAATGTCTACTCGAATTTGTTGTTTTAGTAAATAAAACACGATTGAAACAGCCTGTGTCTAGACTAACATGTGTTTAAAAAAATAAAAGGATTAAGGATAAGATATCAATCTTGATTGTTTACATTTTACTTATATTAAACTGCAGGTACTCAAGTAGAATTTTGTTCTTGAGCACAATTGTCAACGATCTGACAGCTGGAATTACGATTGCTTGTTGGACTTGTCTTAAAAGATAAGTTCACTGTTCGAAATCAAATAGCGATTGCTAACCACTGTAAGCTCTTCGAAGTTGTTTAACGACAAGTTGAATGAATATTTAAATAAACATATTAATGGCAGCAGGTAATACAGTCGATATTGATTTTTTTAATTTTGTCAATACTGATACACTCAAGTCATATTTAAAGTCAAATAGATAATTAGTTAAGACTTATAAACGCATATTATTTTTAAATTATTGTAGCATATGTTATTCATTATATTTATACTACCTGTTATTATTATACTATTTATTATTATTATATATATTATACTATTTTTGTAAATGGAGTTGATTCCTGTAATATAGAATATTATTATTATTATTATTATTATTTCAGCCAAAATTGTCATGTGGAATCCGGTTACCCGGACCCGTGGACCAGTTATCGTCTCGAACTTAACGATTTAAAACAATATTTAAATTTGTGCCAAGTATTCGTTCATCTCCAAACAAAAATCAAGTATGTGACGATATTACAGAAAAAAAACTTCAAGGCATTCAACATTAGGAAACTTCAACACGATTATCATATAGACAACCTCTTGCCACTCTTATATTTTTGTGCATTATAGCTAGTGTGTTTATTTAAGGTATGATATTTTTAATTTTTATTATTTAAAAGTATCGCATTTTAATAAAAAAAA